AGTGGTGGCCACAGACAACAAAACCTATTGCTTCGCACTATGTTCAAATTGTCTTGTGGAAGGAGGGTTATCAGGATAATGGGGTTATAATGACTGTATGGGGGTAAGGCTAAATCAGAGGTTCTCGAAGTCGGGATCCCAATCTCTAGGGGGTCGCGAAATAACCAGGAGGGGCCGCGAGTTCCTGCAGCCCCTCCGCTTCCTCTTCCTCTAGCGTTCTTCAGTGGTATTTATTCTGCCCGATACTCGACAAAGTATCAAAATGCCACGCTTTTATGCATGCTTTCTTTGCTGTAGAATAATCTTGTAATATTGATAATAGTCACTACTTTGTAAGGTGTGTCCTCGTGTAGTTACATGGAAATAGAAAATGCGTTATAATGATTGTCAGAAATGCTTTGTTGCTAAGGGAGTGAATCGTGAATCTGTCGCAACCAAGAAAGTTTGAGATCCTCAGGGCTAGACGAAACTTGTTGGATAGTTCTTTCATTAGTGGACAATGAATACATCTTGTTCACAGTGACAACAATAGATGGTACAAAATAGTGGTACAAATTGACAGCCCAACAAATTTAGTTGTACAAGTTGAGGTAAGTCATATTCATGGAGAATAGTAGCAATGCTCCATTTAGGTACTTTACTAAAGACATTTGTGTTCGTTTCCCTATTTGAAAGCCAAATACATAGATCAGGTCCCTGACTGGTGAAGTAAACAAGTAAGTTATTATCTCACACTGATCCTTTACTATAAAAGACAAGAGTCTTTATTCAGTTGTTGTGCATGGCAACCTCTGGAAGATAAATATCTGTGCTCGGCAAAAAAATAGGTTGTAGTTGAGTAATGATATTGCCAACTTCACAGAGTTGCAGCAGTCAGTCCCTTTAATGAATTCATATTCAAGATGGTATCGAAAGCGTGACTGGGTTTCTTTTGCAAAGATCACTAACTAAGAATGGGATGACTTTCGCAGCGTTTGAGTGTCATAATTGTATAGAACTATATAGTCAAATTTGTCGCCCAGATAATGAGTCTGGAGATAGTCATGATAAACCTTATTTTGCTTATGGTGCTTCCCTCAGAACCTAGAAGAGGATGGCGAATATTAAAATCCCCACACAACAAGACAATATCACTATGTATCATTCAGTCTGGAGGTTTAGGTATCACCTGACTATCATATTGGTTATATACAATTATGATGGCGATAGATATTCAGCACGTGTTGTCACGATTGTCGTCAATCGTCGTTCGATGGAACTGAATTCTTCATGCAAATGTCAAATCCTCTTGTAGAGAGATTATCAATATTTAATCTTCCATATTATATGCATCCCGATTTTTTTGCATAATGAGCACTAGTTCTGATTTCCTGAAGGCAGGATACATCAACTGGCAGAGAGTTGCCTTGTGTTTCTGCAAACGGTTTATGTTCCAGGTAATGCATTTCAAGATATTACAGGTTGAAGCTACTGTTGATCGAGAAGGAACGTGAACATCCTTTCCTGGAGTTGAAATTACTGAGTCATCTCTTGCTGTCTCATGAACTAGTTGCCGGAGTAGCATTTGTAGCAAATCCTTTTATTTCTCCGTTGGACTCTTGTTTGTCCTGCTGCAATGAGGGCTGAGCTGCAGCTGGTGTTAGAGCTGGTGCCAAGGCTGGTGCAGAAGCTAGGGCAGAAGCTGGTACTCGGATTCGTGCTGCAGCTGGTGCTATTGAGCTCCTCAAGTGTGGGAATTCCCCCACATCATTAGCTGGGATGCGTGTTTTTTTTGGAGGGGGGGGGGGCTGCCAGCTTTTTTTTTTCTTTTTTTTTACTATTTATTTCCCTGTCCTTTGGATAGCATGCTCACAGTGTAAGACTGGCATTATGCTCTTGCCGGCAGTTCACGCATTTCCGAGGGATAACTTTTATGGACGAGAGCGGTGGGTCTCGTGGACAAGTGTGTGTTCCGTGTCCCCACTTTAAGAAATTAGAGCAGAACGGTGTCAGGGATTTGAAGACTGCACACTTAAAGGATGCCATACCCTCAACCCT